CCATGCTTCATCAGTTGAGCATATAATCAGATTTTCTGTCCAGTGCATAGCCATAGAAAATAATCCTCTGCTAGAACTCAGGCTTTTTGGAAATTCTCTATCTGGACAAGCCTTTACCTGGTATACTAACTTGCTAGCAAATTATGTTCAAACTTGGGAACATATGGAAAATATCTTCAATAACTACTACTTTAGAATTCAGCCAGAGGTCACCATCAATGATCTTGTAGCCCTCAAACAGAGTGAGGATGAGCCCATATAGGACTTCATAACCAAGTTCAGAAAGCTTACGATGAAATGATGGATAGTTATGAAAAAGAGACACTTAATTCAAATAGCTCAAATGACCCTCAAGATCTCTCTGAGGAAGAGATTCGATAGGATGCTGTTCAGAGACCTAGCAGAACTGGTAGACAAAGCATCTAAATACGAGGAATTGCTTAGGGAAAACAACAAAAGATGAACTCTTCCAAGGCACATATTACAAGACCTCATCTTCTTCAGTGCATCTAGTTGAGGTTGAGACAGAAGAAGGCACAGAAAGCTCAGAAGAGAGGGAAGTTGCAGTGGCAAAAATGGCAAAATTAAAACTTCTTATCAGCTGCAAGGCTCTGACAAAGCCACCAAAAGGTCAGAAGCCACCACTGTTTACAAGAGGATTTGTTCCAAACAAACCAACACAGAACAAGGTCTATTCTTTCGATTTAACCAAGGTCGGTGCTTTGTTTGATGAAATGCTTCTCCAAAAGGCAATAGAGACACCTCATAGGTTGCCCAAGCCAGAGGAACTCAAGGGCAGACAGTATTGCAGATGGCATAACTCTTGGAACCACTCCACCAATAGTTGTGTTGTTTTCAGAGACGTCATACAAGAAGGAATATCGGCAGGAAGGTTGAAACTAGCTGAGAAGCCTCCCACAGTAACCACAGACCCTTTTCCCTAACCTCAAGTTAACATGGTCAACTTAAATTGGCCAGAACAGGAGAGGGGCAAGCTAAGAACAGAAGTCAACCCCAACATGAACAGAAGAGTCACAAAGGGGACAAACCTGAAATTAAAGTCAACCATCTCAGCTGGGGTAGTTCTGTGCAGCAGGTGCAAATGGGAAAGTGAGTTGGAGATAACTCTGGATGAGCAAAGGCAACATACAACTAGTGTTTTTGACAGAATTGAGATATCATACCAACATAGCTCAGTTCCGACCTCATCCAAAGACACAGCCAAGTAGAAGGCCCATCAAAGGTCTACCCAACGCTTCAGAAAGGTGGCTGAATACGCTCAAGAAGGAGATTCTAATTAAAATGCCCGAAAATAATAAGCCTTTGGCAACTATCATAGAAGGTAAATGGTATTTTGTTGGAAAGAGCGGCATGCCAACTTTGGATCTAACCAGAACACAGAAGAGGAAAGTACAAAGGCAATATTGCACCTTCCTTAAGAACAAGGATAACACATAAGTACTTCCATAGGTCAGTTCTGCCAGAAAAGGGAAAAATCCAGAAACATATTCTCAAGCAAAATACCAACTAGAAGAGTTGACAAAGACAGAATTTCCAAGCGAACCTTCTATCCATCTTGCCTCACCCTCAATCAATCAGTTGGAACCTTCACAATCACAAGCTCAATCTGGACCTATTCCAGCAGAAGGTCAAGAAGATTGGATTGAAGAATATGAAGAAGAACAGTTGGATTACGAACCATCTGTAGATGACTAGATTAGACTTCTCGAAACAGGTGAGCAAGAAGACTGGATAGAAGAATATGGAGGAGAACAGATGGAGTATGATGGAGAACTAGATGAAGAAACTGAGGCTTTCGGTGCAGAATTAGAAAGCATGTTACAAGGTGATCTAGGCATTAATATGGTGTTTATCTTACCAGAAAAGTTCAGGGCAGCAGAAGGACAAGAGAACACTTTGGAAGGAGATGTACTCTTCCAAGAAACTTTCGAATCCAGGTTGGTAGAAGTGGAAGATGCACCTAAATAGCAAATGTCTGTTGCCAAAACAAGCAGAACTGCCATGAAATTGGCTGCAGAACAGCCGTGCTTTTCCAAACCCACCAAGGACATGACCAATCATCTCAAACTTTTGTTCATAACTGCAAACTTTGGGGGTGTTCCTATCCCTAAAGTAATGGTAGATGAAGTGCAACCATTAATCTTCTACCTCACAGATTGTTGGTTAAAATAGGCAAAACAGAGAATGATCTAATTCCAACACGCTTAACAGTCACCAACTTCGCTGGGGGCATCACTAAGACTCATGGAATACTAGATATGGATGTCATAGTAGGAACCAAGAAGATGAAGATTGCCTTTTTCGTGGTAGACACCACTTCTACCACTTACAATGCACTGCTTGGCAGAGATTGGATCCATCAGAGTCTATGTGTGCCTTCCACTCTACACCAACAGTTGGCCCTCTGGCATGAAGAGGGTTTTATGGAAATAGTGGAGGCCAACTCACGACCATTCCTGTCATCCGCATTATGCTTTGAGGCCAAGTACTTTCATGATGACCTTGGTCCATTTACTTTCTTCAGAGTCAACCAGAATGGTCGTCCCCATGGTGTCATGGCCCAGAAACTCATTGAAGAAGGTCTGGCTAGTTCCCTAGAGGACTGGAATAGGCTTTTCACTCTAAACCTCCAAGCCATGTTTGGTGAGTTGGACTGGACTGGATATATCCCATTAAAATGGATATGAGTCTAGTCTATTGTTTGATGAATTAAAATACATGACGGACTGGATATGGTAATTGGACACTAGTCCAGAATAAGAGGGGCTACAGAACCCATCGGTAGACATGGGTTTAGAACGAAGCTTCTCTTCTCAGGCTTTGTGACTGAGCCTTGTTGACTTTGTGCATCAACTTCGCAGGCTTTGTGACTGAAATTGAAGCAAAAATAAAAAAGAGAAGAACGGTACGAATCTATGCTCTCCCATATCTCATATTTCCTCTTCTTTCATCGCACGCTTTCCAGATCTGAAACTCATTCACATCTTGGTTTCGTTTGTGTTTTTCTTCTTTTGAAAATGTTCAGTCAAACCTCTGATCATAACCAGAAATCTGATCTTCTTGCTTGGTTGTTGGATGGGTTTTGCTTTTGAAGTAATGTTTTTGTTTTTTGCTTTGTTGATTTTCTTCGTAGCTTCATACTGTCGATTTTTTTCTTTTGTTTTAATTTTTTTTTTGTTTTGGGTCATCCTAATCACCAGTTTTGATTTTCTTCATAGCTCCATCCTAATCGCCAATTTTTGTTCTTTTCTTATTTGGTCTTCAGATTGTATTGTTGGGTTTCGATTCATAGTTCTATTGGGAATGGATTTCAAGTGAAGATCAAATTTTGAAGATCTGGTTCGAATCACTTTTACTGATTTCATATTGGTTTTCTTTGACTTTTGCTATTTTTGGATTTGAATTTGAAGAGTGAGAGGAGATAGCAAAGGGACTAGCTTTAATAAAATTGCAGAATCATTTGAAACTTCAATGTCTTCAAGAGTGGAGATTGGTGAAGACAGTGATACCAACAAAGGCAGTATATTTGAATGTATTTTTGTGAATTTCAGGACTATTTTTATAATATCTTCATGTGATTTCTTATTTTTAATTTTGTGTACATTTTTTTTAATTTAATTTAATTATTTTTTATATTAAATAGTTTTAATAAACATTAAAATAAATTTTGTTTGAAGTCCAGTGTACTCCAGTCCATACTTGTACCAAACAACGGAGTGGACTTTAGTCCAGTGCACTCTAGCCCAATTTAATGTACCAAACAAGTTATTAAAGTCTAATCCAATCCAAGCCAAACCAGTCCAACACTCTAAGCTCAATCCTAACCAGTCCAGTCCAGCCTACCAAACAAGGCCCCAGGGTTATGATGTTTAGCTCAAACCAACAGAGAAAGGATTGAGCTGCAAAAATCCGATCAATTACAAAGAGATTGTTGGTATATTTAGAAGAAAAGAAGCTTTCCATGTATAGTCCATCCATTAACATGGCAGAATTTATGCATGAGAGCATAGAAGAACACAAAGGAAATTTGCATGAAGAAGAATTGGAATTTGCACTAGTAGCACTGGATAATTCTCTGCCAGAAGTAGAAGATCCTTTGCAAGAAATAAACTTGGGGACAGAGGAGGATCCCAGACCTACTTTCATCAGCATGTTGCTAGAAGAATCATTGAAAGATAAAATCATTGCACTTTTGCATTATTTCAAAGACTGTTTCGCATGACATTAACATGAAATGCCTAGACTGGATAGAAGATTTGTGGAACACAAATTACCAATAAAAGAAGGATACCTACCAGTCAAGTAGGCCAGAAGAAGAATGTCCATGGAGACAGAACTAAAAGTCAAAGAAGAAATTGAAAGACTGGTAAAAGCAGGTTTTATCAGGCCATCCATTTATGCTGATTAGTTGTCCAATATTGTACCAGTTCTCAAGAGAAAAACAGGAGAAGTTAGAATCTGCTTGGACTACAAAAATCTGAATGAAGCATCACCCAAAGACGAGTATCCTATGCCTATGGCAGATATGCTGGTGGACGGAGTTGCTCATAACCAAATGCTATCATTCATGGATGGCAATGCAGGTTACAACCAAATAATGGTGGCAGAAGAAGACATCCACAAGACAGCCTTCATGTGTCCACGGAATATAGGTGCTTTTGAATACATTGTAATACCTTTTGGCTTGAGAAATGCAGGAGCCACTTATCAAAGAGCAATGAATTCTGTTTTTCATGACATGATAGATCATTCTCTAGAGGTTTATATAGATGATGAAGGACTGCATAAAATATTCCAAAGGATGTGAAGCTTGTCAAAGACATGGTCTAAGCCAGCATGCTCCCTCAATCTCCATAAATCCAGTCGTCAAGCCATGGCCATTCAGAGGATGAGTGATAGACCTCATTAGCCAAATCTATCTAGCCAGTAGCAAACAACATTGTTTTATCATTGTGGCTACAAATTATTTCACCAAATGGATGGAGGCCAAGCTAGTCAAATCCACCATATCTCAAGAGATCATTACCTTCATAGAAGAACAGATTGTGCAAAGGTTTGGCATACCAGAATCAATCACCACTGACAGAGGAACTTTTTTCATATCCAGAGAAATGCAAGATATGGTAGAGGCACTTAAGATCAAGCTACTTCAATCCACTCCTCACTATGCACAGGCGAATGGACAGGCAGAATCAAGCAATAAGGTTATCATCAACATCATCAGGAGCATGCTTGAGGAAAATCCAAGGCAATGGCATGAAAAACTGTCAGACACTTTGTGGGCCTACAAAACCTCAAAAAGAAAAGCAACTGGCATGACTTCATATGCCATAACCTATGGACATAACGCAATTCTACCCATGAAAATCGCAGTTCAGCCCATCAGAATTTCCCAGCAACATAATTTATTTGGAGAAGACTACTCACAAGCAATGCTGCTGAAATTGGAGGGATTGGATGCAAGTAGAATTGATACCCTCAACAAACTCTTAGCAGGAAAATAGGCTGTGGCAAGAGCCTATAACAAGAGAGTTAGAAACAAGAGTTTTGAAGAAGGAGAAGTTGTCTGGAAGGCAGTTCTACCCCTTGGAACACATGTTGCTGGTTATGAAAAGTGGTCACCCACATGGGAATGACCTTTCATAATTAAGCAAGTCCTAGGATTGGGGGCATACTGGTTACAAGACCAAGGTGCCAATCAATGAAAAATGGTTGAAGAAGTTCTATCTAACCATATGGGATTCACAGGCAGTACAAACAGATCCTGGGATCAAAGCAAAGAAGGATGAAATTGTTGTTTAATTATTTTCAGTCAGTTCTTGTGAATATTTATTTCTTGTTTTCTAGGTTATGTCTTTCTTTTTGCTCATTTTAGAAGAGAAGAATAAAAACACAAGCTTCACAAAATAACCAGGACTTTTTATTAAATACAGTCATCTTTACATGACTAGGGTTTTATTACAAAAGGAATTTAGAGTCCTAGTTTTCTAAGTGTCTCATGCCGTCCAGTCTTCTTGATGGAAATCTCTTTTTGGAGGAGCACTCCTTAGTGGATGGAGGCTTCTGCAATCTCTAAAGCAGGCTTTGAAGCTGAGACCATGCTCTGCACAAGAAGGTGGCCTTAGTCTTCACTCCCAATCCAGCACCAAGATTGTCCTGCCTTTCCCTCAATACAGCCAACTGTTTTTTAAGATCTTCAACATGTCTTTCCAATTTATCAGCACTAGACTTGGTCCCTTTGTAATCTGCAACTGGCACATCCAGTTTTGCCTTTTGTTTCTGATCATCTGCCAAGTTGGCTTCATGAGTGGTCTTACAGAACTCAGAAACATTGAAGGAGGGCTTGAGATCTTCATAGCGATTGTGGAGATTGAGCACATCTCTTGCCAGGCCTAAGCTGAGCTTAAGGATAGGCCTGGGAGTCATGTTCTCCCTGTGCAGCAGGTCCAGATCCTTCATCAACTGGTCAACAACTTCTTTGTTGTCATCCAGATCCAGCTAAGTTGACTACCAGACCTTCACCCTTTCCACTGCCTCATACAGTAGGACTTGGCTTTCCCTAAAGTAGCTCCAAGTTTCTCCAATTGCTGTAGCTGAGCATATAAATCCATGACTTCAAACTCTGCCAACTCTGGATTAGCAAAGGAGGCCGTGGTAGATAAGCCAGGAACAGAATGAATAGGCATATGCAGAGAAGAACTTTAATTAGCTCTACACAAGAATAAAGAAAAGAGAACTGAAGTAGGATAACACTTACGGCCACAATAGAAGGCTTGAGAGGACTGATCACCACAGCTAAAATCCCAGCAGTTCTATCCTCATCCATCTAGAAAGGCAGGAACCTCAATTAGAAAGATAGAGACAGACAAGAATGTAGAAACCAGACAAAGTTGAGAAAGAATAGAAGCTACCTCAGGTTCTAGGACATGTGCAGAATGTTCTGCCTCCACGTCATCAAAAAGAGCCAACTCTGAGCTGGTGGGCTCTGTCCTATGAA